AATGAGGACAAGGCTCACTATTTATTAATGTGGTCCATCACATTGTACATCAAATACACTCCATAAAACACTAAGGACACAAGAAAAAGACATATGCAACATTGGTAACTCATTACCAGATTGTTAGAAAGTTTCAAATATCACAGTTAATGCTAAACATGGCCCACGTAGTAGTGAACACAGACATGTCACAGCAACTGTAAATTTAACAAACTTTTTCAACATATAATAGTGTAACTATTTTCTGTGCCTACTGATGTCCTGATGGCAGTAATAAAAGTGATGAGAAAACACTATTAATTGCAAAATAAAGTCAATTCATCACCAAGACAACTAGAAGGGCTGCTGTTTAGAACGGCTCCCTTCAGAAAAATAACAATCAAATTTCTTTGATTTCCTTTTTTTCAAACTCAAATCGGAAAGAAAAAGACATCAAAGAGCTTCATAATCACACTTTGACCAACGTTGGTCTGCACTTTTAAAAAAGGTTGGAGGAGATTCGTGCAACAACAGTTGTAAATAAGTGCCTTTGCTCAAGATGTATATCACACTTAAATGCAAAAATAAGAAAGAAAATACATGAAATTTACTCCAGAACCTAGGCTAAAACACAGGACAAAGATACACTGACAGAATAAATATCACAGTGTTGGAAGAAACACAATCACACATACATATAAACAGATTGTGGAAGTCACTCTAACTATGAAACATAAAAATATGCTTGGCTTGGTCAACTTCACTACCAAAGATTTCTAAAAGGAATGAACACTCCACAAAAATCTAACTTCAAGAGAACAGAAGGTTTTACACAAAACATGACCTCACTTCAGTAAATCCAATTCAACAGGGGATATAACTGAGTTGAGCTATGTAAAAGAATGCTCATGGAAATGATTCACACAATTACTTTTGCATAATAAACAATTAAATAAGGGCAAAAAAAGAACAAAGAAGGCATACAAAAACTATCTACAGTATAAATATACAATGTTCTATAAAAATAACTAGACTTTTGTACAAGAATACTGCCAGGTTCCTAGGAATATCTTAAATAAAGTCAAAATAAGACTGCTACTGCCAAGAAATTAGGTTCAGAATTTGCATTTACAGAGGTTCTTTTATAGACATAAAACAATCATAATACAAATTTACTCCAAATATTGCTAAGCACTCCAAATGTAACGATACAGAATCTAGAACATTGCCAATTTAGATAATTTCCACAAAAAGGATTGATTTGGTGGTTCTCATAAAACTTTAACTCACCAGAAATTAGATAGTGATCTTTTCTGGAGAAAATTTCTCATTTAAAATACTTTGATGCAGTTTGAATTGACTGTATGAGAGATGAGATGATGTCTAAGCATCAACTAAAACTATTTCAGCCTCAAATTTACTTGAGACCATATCAATTTAATTAACAGCATTCAAGCAAGACTACCCTGTTCTAACAGCTCTAACAGAGCTGCTAAATTAAGTTCCAAGCAAAACTGAAGAACGTAAACAATGGTTTTAAAATACTATGACAGAATAAGAATGTAGCCAAGACATTACACTTTCATGAAACTGTGATAAAATCATCAACACAACAAGGTCTTCAATTGAGATCTGATTTACGGATACTTTTCTTATCATGAACACAAAATTAATTTGAATTTTGGAAAATAACAAATGTTGAAATAATACTCGATGCACATCCTCTGTCGAAGTTTGAGAAACTAATAGGGAGCAAATCTTGTGTTAGAAAGGAGGCAAGGTAAACTTTGAACAGTATCTCCTTGTATTTTCTTTCCTCGTTAATTCAAAAGCCCTCACTGAAAATTGATTGGGGCAAATATGGCATTGATCACCAATAAAATCAAAGGGACTACCTCCTTGGCGAGACAAAATGACATACTTCATTACAACCAAATTAACAAGTTACGCACAACCATATTGTTTCATTAAAAGTAACGACAAATTTCACAGATAACAAAAATTAAAGTGATCTGTAAAAAGTAACATTATTAAATTTTTGAATGCAGAACAACACAACAAGTTTTTATTGCTCAAAACAAATGCTAAAAGAGCGCACCACTTTGTCAAAAATTGAGTATTCATTTTAAAAGATATTAGAAAGGAAACCAATTAAGTCACTGCAAGCGGAAACAGGCTTGCTTCAAAATGGGAATCTAAAATTCTACATGAATTGTCAAGGTCAATAGGTAATAAGACCGAAGGATAACGGGTTGATTTGCAGCCAGATCCTTCAGTTACTCACACATTAGGCTTATAATGGAACCAAAGCTGATTTTTGCTGTTCCATTCTGTCAATCTGAAAACGAACAGCACACAATACGGATATGTGCTTCTCCAAACATCTAAACCAACATATCCTTCAACAAGGACACTTAAGACTTGGTAGATCGAGCTCGTCGCTGACGAGACTGTCTACCACTCAGAAGTCAGCTGACGCACCATTCAATCAATCACTATGCGATCAGACGGGGATGTTCTCCAGAACCGCTGGGAAGGGGGAAGAGGGTGTTAAAAGGGGGAGGGGAAAGGGGGGGGGGTGCCATGCAGTATCACGGGGAAAATAAAGAGATCCAAGTTTCGGGCTGACGCACCACATTCCTCCTAGTCCTCGCACAGGATCTCCATGAGGATGCGGCGCAGGCTGTCCAGCCCCGTGAGGAAGCCACAGTCCGGGCCGTGGTGCACGGTGCCCGAGGACGTGTTGCCAGCGCCCGACGGGTGGGCCAGCGTGGTGTGCGCGAAGTCGATCATGCGCACGTCGACGCGAACGGAGGGCGTGAGGTCGTCGTCCTCGTCGTGGGGAATGGCGGGCATGGCGGGTTTAGGCTTGGGCTTGGCCTTGGACTTGGACTTGCAGCCCTGCTCCGCGCCGTGGCCGAGCCCGTGAGAGTGGACGGGCTGGCAGGCCGCGCTCGGCCGCGTGGACCGCAACCGCTTGCTGGTCAGCGAAGTCAGCGACCTGTCCGTCGCTGACGGCGACAGCTCTTCGTCCTCGTCGTCCTCCTCGTCCTCTTCCTCGGTGCCCTGGCCGGGAGAGATGTCCTGGTCGTAGCGCAGCTGCTGCCGCACCCGCTTGGCGCCCAGCTGTGGCAGCTGGAGCTCCAGGTCGGAGGACAGCTCCTCTGAGCTGTGCGGCGGCGACGAACAGAAGTCGCCCACTCCGCTGCTGTACATCAGCCAGGGGCTGGGCATGGAGGCGCCCAGGTCTGCAAGCGGAGCAAAGGCGTGAGATCGGCCGCTCGACGTCGGGGTTCGGGGCGGCCAGGGCAGGCGGCCGCACTCACCTCTGGGCTGCGACGAGGGCGGGGTGTCGAGGAACATGGTGTCCTCGGAGATCGGGAAAAAGGAAGACGAGGACGACGAGTTCTTGGCGCCGCGTGCGGCCGCCTCGCCGAAGCCCCGTTGGTGCGAGTCCTGGCTCACGTCCACGTCCAGCTCGCTGTGGCCGTCGGCGTCCCCGTGTCGCGGCGACATCATGAAGTCCATGGACGAGTTGCTCGCGTCCGCGTCATAGCAGCAGCCAGCGCTGCGGCTGTTGTCAGATGAGTCATGGGTGCCTGGAACAAGCAGGGCAGGGCGGGCCGTCAGGTGTGAGCTCTGGCCTCCACGACCTTCGGGAGGACTCGCGGTGAGTCAGCCTACCGCGCGCCGCGCGTGGGCACAGCCAGCACAGCCGGGCCGGGCACAACCAGCGCAGACAGGGGAACAATCAGCTGCTTACAATTAAGCGGCTCAGCGCAGCGCATAATCAGGTGACCGGCACGGCAGCCGCGCTCTCTCAAGGCGAAGACCGGCCACACAGTGGAGGGGAACGCGAGCGGTACTCACTTTCGTCATTGATTAAAAAGTCTTGCGAGCAGCGGCGCTGCTTGTCTGCCGACGCCGACGGCACGGAGTGCGCCGAGTGTCGCCGAGGGGTCATGTGGTCCCACTCGCAGCCCTCGTACACCATCAGGAGCGAGCTGGGAAAGAGATACAACAACGTGATTCTCTCTCACAAGCAGAGCATGAACGAAGTCTACCATGACGGCGGCGCCTCGGTCTGCGTCACTCACCAGGAGTAGAAGCGGTAGCTGCACTGGCGCTCGATGGCCCGCCGCAGCGCCTCGAGGCGACCGAGGATGCGCCGGATGACCTGCGTCCTCAGCTGGTAGCCGTTGTGGAAGAAGCGGTACATGGCCGCCTTAAGGCCCTCCTCGCTCAGTTCGCGGCCCCAGTACTTGTCCCGCTTCACGTAGTTGTCCGTGTCGGCCTGGTACACCTGTAACGATCGGCGAGGTTAGTCAAAGAAAAGGCGCAGGAGGCAGGCAGCCAGGCAAGGGGCCGGTAGGCACACCCGCCCAGCACCCGCGCTCCACGGGCCCGCCCGCCCTCCAGGGGCCCTCCACAGCGCACCCACCTGCATGCCGCACAGGCGGACGCCGAGCGACGCCGAGGTGCTGGCGGCGCACTTGGCCATCTGCTTGCTCCGCTTCTCGGCCGAGGCGTCGTCGCCGTGCTGCCGGGTGCCCATCTTGAGGTCCAGGATGCAGGGCTGGCGGTAGCGCGAGGTGATGTTCTCGAGCAGCAGGAAGAGCTGCGCGCCCGACGGCACGCCGCCGCCGCCCGCGCCGCCGAACGCGCCCTCGCGCTGCACCTTCATGCGCAGCACGCCCGAGCTGCCGCCGTTGGCCGCCGCCGCCGCCGCGCCCGCCTCACGCTTGCGCTTGGCGGCGCGAGGCTCGTCGCGGAAGCTGGGGCTGTAGCGCTTGTCCAGCGTCATGGAGCCGCTGTTCGTCGCCTGCATCACGCCTGCAAACACAAAACAGCAAACGGCGTTAGGAAGGCGATGATACGAGCTGCGCTGCGCAGCTCACGTGAGCGCCACACGTGAGGCGCCGCCGCGGTGTCGCCGTCCTCTTCCGCATTATGAAAACCGCCTGGGTGGGAAGAGAGATTGAGAAGAGATAGAAGGTTTGTTGACAAATGAGAGTTTGTGTGAGCGGGAGGAGCGGCAGGAGCAGGAGGAGGAGGAGGAGAAGAAGAAGGAGAGGGGAGAGGAATCCGGCAGAGAGAACAGGTCGAGTGTATACTGCCGCCCCACCCCGACCCTGCAGGTCACCTGAGGTTGGAGCGCGATCAACGAGGAGCCGCGCAAAAAACTGACATCCGGGTAAATAAACACCTTATTTTTTTGTTTTCAGGCTCCCAAGTCGCCCCTGTACGCTAGACGCGGCGTCGGTTGACGTTATCGCCATGCCTGGCCAGGCGACACACGACCACGCCACTCCGCCTGACGCCGCGGCGTCGAGCCGAGCAGGGTGAAGTCATGTCGGCAAACAGCGGGCAGGGTGGATTTACTCTTGTGATCCGCGTGTGTACTTCAAGGCTCTGCGCACTATACACATTTTAGAGACATCATTCAAGCGTTTCTTCAAATGTCTGAATATTGTCATATAAAATGTATGAAAACTGTGCTCTACTAGTCAACCTTGGTTTTCAGTTCAAATCGTCCAACCAGCTTGGCAATTCCGATCCAGAGAGTTGTCCTCGCGCTAACGTAAGTTGTACAGTACACAAAATGGAGCCTTCAACGCGCGACGCGCGGATCGGGGCGACCGACGCAAGCCACGCGTCGCGGTGATGCGGCGGTAAATGCAGACGGTGCGCAAACTACACACCGCGGCCCGGCCCGGCCCGGCGAAATGGGGCGGCCTATATACATAGAAACTTCGCCGCGTTTCTTTTTACAACCGCCGGTGGGTGACATAGTCGGCGTGACTGTACGCGCGAGCCTCAGCGGCAGCAGCGGCAGCAGCGGCAGCAGCGGCAGCAGCGGCAGCAGCGGCAGCAGCGGCAGCAGCGGCAGCAGCGGCAGCAGCGGCAGCAGCGGCAGCAGCAGCAGCAGCGGCGTTGTTTGTACAGAGTTATTAATTATCCTACAGCGAGGGATGTCGAGGCGCGCGACTTTGAAGAGAAGCCGTCGGCTCACCCTAAGCTGCCAAAGCCAGAGGACGTTTTGCCGTTCCTGCGCAAAATATGGCCGGCAGGAGAAAACGACGTGAAAAAGGAAATAAACAAAAAATAAAAAACCGCGCGAAAACGACGAGAGCAACACCGGCGACAACCACCACGCCAGGAAACCAAAACGCAAACCCGCACGCTACCTATACTATAATGAGACGCAAGGATGTCCCGAAGACGACGACGACGCTTCCTCCACCCATACCAAATGTTTTTATTTCATTTCGAGTGCCGCGCGGGAGTTTGTTGACACCCCGAGTCGTGGTTTGCGTTTGCGCGTTTATAGGAGCAGCGCAAGCAGCGGCGCGGCGGGTAGCAACCGCCTTGCGGAATGGTGGTACACGACGAGAGTGCACCCGCCTTAGGCAACACACACATAACCTCCATGAGGTTGCCGAAGAGGAGGAGGCGTCCGATAAGGGAGGGAGCCGCGTGGAGGCAAGGACAATGCTATCTCGGTGCAAAAGCAAGTGTCAGCCGGGAGAGGCGGGGCGCGCCGCGCGCAAAACCACCCGAACCAAATAACCTTTTGTGTGTGTGTGTTGTTCTTTTCTTTCGGTTGTTCTCTACAGCTTTTCGTGGGATGCAAATAAGAGGAGGGGGTAGTAAACAGGTCCCAAACAATAACAGCGGAGGACGGGTATGGACGCAACACGAGCGCGCTGCCCTGCTAGCTAGGCCTCCTGGGCCACCTCACGACCACTAAAGGGACTTCCCCGCGCGTCCGCGACAACTCACGGGTGAAAAGTAAAAAGGGGTGCAAGTCCACGAACTTTGCATTCGACTTACGCCCTTTTCACTTTTTCACCAGTAAACTATGGACCCGACGGCGGGCGCATACCTATACAGGCAGACAGGCGACCGTACTGCAAATACGTCCGTCCGCCCTCTTTTTTACTTTCGTACAATCGTTATTCCACTAATCACGTTCGATAACTTGCAATCATCACGAAATGAGGGCGTCTGGTGCATAGCAGCGCGGCCTGGCAAGGTTCAGTCGATTATTTGCTGCACGGCTAATTGTTTTGCTACCATGATTATTGCAAAATGCCGGCGGCACGCAGAGCTCGGCGAGCAAGCAGGCGACACGCCACTGGCGCAGTGACGCAAACGAACAAAAGGTGTCATGCGACACGACGCGAAGCGAAGCGGTGGAGGCGGTGTAGTCAGCGCGCCGTTTTGATGACGGCGACCAACAAAGGCCGGATAAAAATGACGCCCGCGCATTCGCAATCTCACGGAAGAAAAAAATCTGCTGTATAGCTGAACCAGCCAAATACGAGAATTATTTAGCTGAGTTGTTGAAAGAAATTAGCTGTGCTGTTTTTTACACTTCGCAAGCTAGGCTAAAATGGCTCGCTATACGGCACGTTTTTAGCTGCATAGCTACAAAAATAAATAAGTAATCCCGCATTATTTAGTTCATGTTTTAGCTACATTCCTTTTTTTTACGTGTCTTTTCTGCATTTGCCTTTACTTTTCAACGCGGGCACCGAATACGCGAAACTGAATAGCATGGGGTATGGGTCACAACACGTTAAGCGCGCGCATCCGCGCCATCATTTGAATGGGGTAGAGCCACTCGTCCTGCTGGCTCGGCGAGGTGCTTTGCCCGCGGCCGTCCGCCTGGCGCTCGGGTCATGGCTCCTGTTCGTGGCGGAGCGTAGTGCGGTAGAGGCATTTAACGGCGTGCAGCGCCTCTGCATTTCATGGCAGCAGTCCTCCTCCTCCTCCTTCTGGTTGCCACCCCTCCTCCTCCCCTCTCGCGCGCGGGCGGCCAGAGCCACAAGCCGGTCAGGCAGGCAGCCAGGCGGCCAGCCATAGCCAGCCTCGCGGGTGCAAGGGTTAATGCGCTCGCCTCCCAGCCCCGCTGCCAACTGGGCCCGCCGCGCCCCTCCGCTTCCTCCTCGCGGGCCGACCGCAGGACTTGTGTGTCTGTACGCCGCGAGGGAGGCCCGCCCGTGCGCAGAGCCCCGAACAAGCAGTAGGCCTCCCGACCCCGCACAACGGGCCACCGACCACCCGCGGCCCGCCTGACGTGCAGCAGATTGAGCGATACATAAACAGCCCGACAGCAAACAGCATCCGCAACAGTCTTTCCTTTGTCCCTGCTGCTTATGGTCCTTGCCCCCTGCGCGCGAGCTGTGTGTAAGGCGCTTTTGTTTTCGCGGAACCGAATGAGTGAACCAAACGGAAATGAGGAAACATTTCTTAAAAGTGTACCATCTGCTAAAGAGACACACGTTGCGGGAAAATTTAGAAGTAAGACTATAGAAATTTGCAGGAAATTAGGGATCAAGGAAGTATGCGTCCCTCGCTGGTACATTCGGCAAATTGCATGACCTCGGCGCCTGCGAGACTCGGGGTAGGCCGCCCCGCAGTGCACACGTGCACTGCAGGCGAGATGTTGCCTACCTACCAGGCGTTATAAGAGCTTGCACGGGCTACCTCCGTGAAGTTGGCCCCACCCATTGCCGTACTAATTCTGCCGATAGTACCACGATTTAGTACGCAATTAGTATGTGCGAACCATACTAAAATTAGAATTAGTACGGAATATTTACTAGCTTAAAAGTCAATACGAAGTTGGGTGGGGCCAGGTTCACGCAGGCCCCACCAAAATTTGTACGGGCTGTGTGACTAGGCCTATCATTTAGTACGGAATTAGTATGTTCGATCTATGCCATTTTCAGAATTAGTACGGCCCTCCTTCAGGTACTTTTCGCAGGTGCAAAGTGGTGGGGCCAGCTTCACGCTGCCCCACCCAATCACCGGATCGGCTCAACGAGTACAACATTCTGACCGGCTGAATTAGTACGTTCCGAA